CTCTTTGTTTTTCACTGCCTTCTTTTCCTTCTCCTCTTCTCGGCAGCCAGACAGGTCATTAAAAAATGCCAATTTGTCTCCAAACATTTAATTAATGTCTGTCTGCTCCACACTAGACTATAGAACACACGGTTTTGTCTTCTTCACAGGTCTTAGAATAATACATAACACACAGTAGGTGACTCAGATAGGAGGGTGAATTAATTCCCGAGATAAAGGAAATGAAGAGACAATGTTGAATCCTTTGAACCCACATCAGGTTCCCAGATGCTAAGATCTAAGACAAAGCTGCCATTTCCAATCACTTCAATTCGGAAGAAGGTCTTTGAAGTTGACAACCACTATGTGTGTGTATACATACTGGCTTCCTGCAACACTCCTAGGTCTAAGTCTCTCTGATATTGTACAAACCAGGGAATGTTGATAGATAAGCTCTTTGCTACTAGAAAGCCCAATATAAGTGCATTATTATCAACTACTCTTGGTGGACCAGTTATTTTGAGCCAGAAACTGTACTAGCCATTTACATAATTGCTTGTACTTCAGCGTCATGCTACCAGATGTAATTCATCATCCCACATGTCAGATGACACAGCTGGGGTTCAGAGAGTAATTGAACTTGCCCAAAGACATCCAGCTGGCAATTCAGAACTAGAATTTGATTCTAGGTAGCTGATTCCAGCCCACACTCACTTTCCATGCTTATTTCATACTAAAACATATACATGTCATCTCATCAATATTATTTATAGGCTTATAGCTATGACAAGCTGATCCCTTATAAGAAAATGCTACATACACAGAAGAATCAAGAATAATTGGCAGAGATTTGGGTGATCTCTGGTGTGGAGGAGCAGGAGGCCATGCATGAGTAGAGGGAACCAGGTTGGATCCCCGGAGGAGAGCCTGGGCCCTCCACACCTGTAGGGATGGCAGAAAACTTTGGATCAGTCAGAGAAGGGCAGGAAAGGGAAAAAGGATGGTGGAGGTGAATGAGATCTGGGTGGATGGGGTTGGACAAAAGCTTGTAGCACCTGCCTCATCAGAGTGTCCCAAGCTGCCTCTAAGCTTGAATTGCTGGGCACTATGTGTGACTTTGTTCTCACCACCAGGCAGCAGTTTCCTTGAGCACATTCCCAGCCCACACCATTCACTCCCCCAGCCAGCAGCACTCCAGATTAGATGTGGGCTTGGAGAGTCATTGAAGAAGCTTCAGAATCCACCCAAGACCAGGTCCATCCTGTAGGACAGCAAGTAGGGGTTGTCACTTTCCTTTCCCCTCTTTGCCTACACTGGCTTGTCAGAGTTTGAAGGCAGTGTAGGTTTTCTCCACCCAAAAGAAGAGGACAGCCACTATAGTTTGGATCTGAAATGGCCTCCAAAGACCCATGTGCTGATGGCTTGGTCACTCGCCTGTGGTGCTATAGGAGGTAAGACCCATAGCAAGTGGAGCCTAGTGGAAAGAGGTGGGTGACTGGGACCTGTCCCAGCCCCTTCTTCCCCCTGTTTGCTTGCTAGTATCCATGAAGTGAGCGGGTCTCCTCTGCCGCATTCCCACCATGATTGGCCACCTTCCTGCAGGCCCAAAGCAATGGGCCATTGGACTGAACCCTCTGAAACCATGAGACAAAGTAAACCTTTCCTGCTTAGAAGCTGATTCTCTCAGGTACTTGTCACAGCCACACAAGGCTGACTAACACAAGCTACAAGAGAGAGTGAAAGTAAAGACAACCCTCCTGCTTCAAAATAAAACTTGCTCCTCACAAATCCACAGCTCCTCTCACTTAGAAATTGGGTGAGATCATATCACCAATAATCTGCTCTACTTCTCAGGGAAAAACATGCGATGGAATGTCAGGTAGCCAGGTAGCATTATCAGAGAGATGCTAGGAAGAAGGACAGTGTGTACACACAAGTGTGCATGTGTGTGTGTGTACATGTGTGTATGTTTGTAAGTATGTGTGTGTATGTGTATGTAAACTCAAGTGCATTACTGGTGTAGAGGTGGTCATTTAAGGGGCTGGGGATTTAGCTCAGCGGCAAAGAGCCTGCCTGGCAAGCGCAAGGTCGTGAGTTCGGTTCCTGGTACCAGAGAAAAACAACAAAACAAAACAAAACAAAAAAAGGAGTGGTCATTTAAATCTGGGGTCATCCACAGGCCCACAAACCATAAGTAAATGCATGATCATGACTATGTACCAATAAAACTTTATTTATAGGAGCTGAAATTTCAATGTTTTACTAATTTCCTTGTGCTAAGAAGTACTACTATCCCATTGTTTATCTTTCAAGTACTTGAAAATGTAATAAAAACCATTCTTACATCAAGGGCCACACTAAAGCAGGTAGAGAACAGGAATTGATCTAAGGTCATACCCCTGATTTGAATCATCCAGGAACTTAGCTCATCAGGATAAAAAGAACTGTTCAAAATTTATATAGCAAAATCATCCTTCTGACTTCTCTCTTGAGTCCCAGAGTGGTACCATGTATGGATAATGTTCTGCAATTCAGGGGCATCCTCAATAACAGGGTCTCAAGTGGTGGATTAATCCCTAGGAGTGCCTACACATGGCCATTTTAATTAACACCTACACTTAATTGACAATGAATAGCCAGCAGGCTTTTCTGCTTAATAAAGCAAACACATGATTTATTTGAAGAAGGATGAGGTTTTTCTTTAATTTAATTTCCTTTAAAAAAAAAAATAACCCTATGTGTGTCCACAAAGTGATGGAAAGAGATGTATCCATTGGATAATTTTTAATTAAGGTGAATGAAGCCTCGCTAGCTAAAAGGTTTTCTGAGGGGAAAGGTCTCAAACTGTTAACACATCAATATGTTTCTGTCCATTAGGCTTTCCCAGGGTGACAAGCGCGGCCTTAATGGCAATTTCAAGGAAGGTTCTTTTTGTATCTTCACAGCTGTTGAGCGATGAGGTCTTAGAAACCATGGAAACTTCCCTGGGGGAGGGGGGTCAAACTTCAACTGCAGCTCTTAATGACAAATCATTACCTGGGGTTGTCAAAACAAGTTGCACAAGCTGGCTGTGTGCGGGACCAGCATGCAGAGCAGGCGCAGGAGGCCCAGAGCTCCCTGCGCCACCCAGGGCTGTACAGAGGCAAAAAGGAAAGCAGTCCTGTGGAGAGCACACGGCCCAAGCTCCCCACCTGGCCCGGTACACGTGGTATCTCTCTTTTCATTCTCATAATGACCAAAGAAGGAAGCCCTAAAAGAGGCAGAATGTCACCCTCAAATATGCCTTCTGGACATAAAAACTGCTTTGAGCTGAAGGCAATTAAGAAGCAACAAAGGCTGAAACGCTCTCTTTCGTCCTTCTTTTCTGCCTCAAGGCAGGATGTAAATTTTCTCTTCCTGGAGATAACGCTAGGTTCTTGCCCACCCAGAGAGGAACCAGAGAAATCTGCAATCAAACTTCCCACATCTACAAACATATTTGCCTCCCTACTATTTCCCCCTCGCAGGGGAAGCCTAAAGCCTCCCCACCCCTCTGTCATTTCTCTGCAAATGTATTGCTTTTTACTGAAGATAGTAAATAAGCTGGCATTCTAAGCCACCTCTGCATGTCATTGGTTCCCTAGTTATCTCCCATGCATATACAAGATATGGGTATTAACTGCAGTTTGTTTTTCTCTGGGTGTTTTCCCTGTTGGTTGTGATAGGGGCCCCAGTTAAAGACTTAGAAGAGTAAAAGAAAAAGAATTTTGCCATCCGTGTTGGAAGGTTTGTGTTCTCTGGTGACTCCTATGTTCATACCTAATTCCCAATAGGATGGTACTAGCAGGTGCGACCTATAGTTGGAGATTAGCGCATGGAATTTGGAGCCCTCGAGAATGGGACTGATGCTTCTATAGAAGAGGCCCCAGCTTACTAACCTGTCCCTTCCACTGTGTGAGCACACAGCAGCAGGGTGCCATCTAGAACCAGGAAGCTGACCCTCAGGAGACACATCGTCTGCTGACACCTAGATTCCCAGCCGTCCGAGATGTGAGAAACAAATTTCTGCTATTTATAAGCCACTCAGCTTATGTCATTTTGTTATAGTACTGTTATAGATAGCCAGGCTAGGTAGAAATATTGTAGACAGTCAGATAGGGCTGGGCCCTCAAGAGAACCAGGAGAAGAGTGAAATGCATCTTACCTGTGGTGGGAGATACATCTGTTGGAGATGAGGCCTCAAGATAAAGATGAGATGACCAGGCCTGTACACTTCTTAAAGGACAAACACCAGGCCTAATGAAACCTGGGTGGATATCAGTCACTCCATGGGTGACCAAGAACTCCTGACCCATCATTTCCTAGAGGAAGTCTTTCTTCTTTCCATGTACCCTTGTTACATGACTTGCTTCCCCATTGGATCACTATAACCTAAGTGACTATCCTTGAGTCCTTATTGGTTGATCATAGCTGTAACCCATATCTTACCATGTGGACATTACTGTATAAAATTCAGGACCCTTGTAAAGTGGAGTCCTCCGGCAATCCATTTGACCCCCTTCCTGTTCCTCTAACAAGAGCTTTATCCTCTCAATAAACACCTTCCTACTCTTAACGTCTGGTGTTCCTAGAATTGAATTTTTAGAGAACATGAACTTGGCGTATGAGACATCTAACAAGTTGCAAGCTATAATATTTCCCTCCTACCATATTTTGAGGTTCTGATATCACCCCTGTAACAGTAGTCCGTCCACCTGAATGGACTACACTTAGTAGTCTATTAGTCCTGCCTGAATGGACTACGATATATATTTTTTTCCCTCCCCTACAGTATGATTAATATTTCTGTGTCCTGTGTAGGGAAACATGTTCAGGAATGATCCATGACTTACCCAAAATCTTTCAACAAATACTTATTGAACACCCGCGGCTGCTAGTCACTATGCCAAGGGCTGTGAGTAGAGCTCAAATTGAGTGAGGAAAGCAGACAACCAAATGATCACACAGATGTGCACATAATCATGAACTGTGCTAACTGCTGGGAAGAAAAAGCATGGGTGTGAGTGCGTAAGAGCTAGTGAGATTCAGCTATGTGTCCTCCCTCAAGTGCTCAGTATGAGATGAGCAGTATGAGATGAAAAATGCACACATTGCTCCCTAGGGCTGCCATAACAAATTATCACAACTGATAGCTTAACACAACAGAAGACCATTCGCTCCCAGTTCTGGAGGCTGAAAGTCCAAAATCAACGTGTCAGCAGGGTAAGCTCTTCTTGAAGGCGCTGAAGGAGAATGGCTGCCTCTGTCCCAGATGCTGAGGATAGCTGACCGTCTTGGCATTTGCTGGCCTGTAGATGCCTCCTTGCCTCCGCCTTCACTTGGAGCCTCTCTTGTGTCTGTATCCATGTCATTTTTGCTCTTCTAAGAACACACAGCGTGTTAGATGAGAGTCGACCTCATCTACCGAGACTGCATTTCCAATGAGATCCCATTCAGAAAGACTGGGGGTTTAGGATTTTAGCGTGTCTTTGGGCTACACCATCCAACCCATAGCAACTGTCTGCAGTATCTTCTTGGCTTTGAGTTGTTTCTTTCTCTTCAGTTTTCAGGGTCACTGCAGAGCCTGCAGGGAACACTACAAGGTTGATCTTCTAAGTCTGATGAAGCAAGCCAACCCCAATCAACTAATGAATGGTTTTAAATATTTGGAGTCACAGAGGGATAGGAGATGATCCTGCAGAAAGTTCTTTTGAGATACACATCATTGTTTCTCCTAGTAGTGTCTTTCCCAAATGTGTATCTTGCCCTCTCAAAACCAAAGGAGGGGAGCTGGGGATTTAGCTCAGTGGCACAGCACCTGCCTGGCAAGTGCGAGGTTGTGAGTTTGATTCCCGGTAACCAAAAAAAAAAAAACAAAAAAACAAAGGAGGCTGTAAAGCTCCTTTCACAACTCCCAAGAGGGACAGTCCTTTATGGGCATTTCTTGCACAAGATATTTCAGGAAAGACAGTTCCTACCACCAGTACTCAGGCACTCCGTGGGTAGTAGTGGTAGTGAGTGCAATAAACATGGAGCCCCAGGAACAGTCAAGAACAAAGGCTAGGTAGGGACAGTCTAGCACCCACCTACCCCAAAGGCTAGATGCTCAGAATCTGAGAACTTCCCACCCATCATGAAGTAGTCAAAGAAAGCAACCAACCAAAAGAGATACATCATAGGGAAGAGGACCACAGAGCAAGCAGGAAGCAAAATATAGGCTGCGAAGAAGGACTCTAAAATCAGACATGTGGGCATGCCAGACACAAGGTCCACCACTGGCCAGTGAGTCCCAGGGCACACTACTGTCTTCCTCCAACATGGCATCACTAGCTGTACCCTCCAGCTCTCTCTTTCCAGCTCCACAGGTCCCAAACTGGGCAGAAGGGGTCTCAGGCCCCACAGCCAACTCATAGGGCACTGCAGGAGCATTAGGATCAGGGCCTGCAAGCTTTTTCTCAAAAGGAACAGACAGCAAATCTTTCAGACTCTGTGAGCCATACAATCTCTGTCTTAACTAATGAACTCTAGCATGGCTGGGGAAAGCAATTGTAGAGAATACCTACAGTAGACAGGGTGCTTTTGCCTTCCAGAGAACATCTGGCAACATCTGGAGGCATTCCTGGTGGCTGCACTAGAGCTGTGTATTAATTTGCTAGGGTTGCCATGACAAAGCACCACAGAGTGCCTTAAACAGAGAGCCACTGCCTCACAGTTTTGGAGGCTGGAGGGGGAGATGGAGGCGTCTGCACCACTGGTCCTGCTAAGGACTGTGAGGTGGAATCTGTCTCTTTGCTTCTCTGCATCCCTTGACTTGCTGATGCATCCTCCTGACTCTGTCTCCAAGTTCACATGGTATTCACATGGTATTCTCCCAGTCAGCACAGGTATGTACATCCAAATCTTCCTTCCTGTGGAGCCCACCCTAAGTACCTCACCTCAACCAATCAGCCTGCCCAGAACCCATCTCCACATTCTGAGGTACAAGGGTCAGGACTTTAATAGGAATTTGGGGGCACATAATTCAACCTATAATAGGGTACCACTGATGTCTAGTGTGTAGGGGCCAGGGATGCTACTAATCTTACAGTGCATGGGGTCCTCCAAATGTCACTCATGCCTAGGTGGAGACTAGGCCAGAAAAGGACCAAATAACTATTTGTAAAAAAACTTTCCATTTTTGCTCTGAGCATGCCTGCATCCAAAACTGCAGTTATTTTTTAAAGGTTGACTTAATGTGTGTTTCCTTAACGTACAAACTTCTTTCTACCTTCTTCACATTCAGTGTCCAACTCTTATCTGTACTGCTTCAATATTCTCAACGAGTTGCTTGTGGTGTTTTATTTTTTCGGACCTGGATGTGTGCAGAGGGAGATTAACACACCTTCTAAAGAAATTCATTTTGCCTTCTCTTCCAACAAAGGTGATGTGCACCAGAGAAATAAATCACAGGAAACAACCATTAGTAGCAGAGTGAGCCCTGCCAGCAGTGGTGGCATGGACATGAACAGGTTCTTATGCATATTTCAGCATCAAGACCAAGTGGCAAATAAAAACTAAAATTAACATTTAAATGAACTCTGATTGCATTTGTGGATTTTTGTTATTCACATGGGTAAATGTTAGACTAAAATGACCCAGTATTTATATTCAAATTCCCTATTATACAACTACTTAGTTCAAATAATTAGCAATGAGAGCCAAATATTTCATTGCTGGTTTCCTTTCAACCAAACTTTTTTTTCCCTTTAAGATCAAAAAACACAAGGAAACTGTTCTTAAATGAGAAAGAAATAGCTGATTTTAAGTGACTTCCTTTCCTCAGGTTTGCACAAGATCAAAGTCTAGCATGAGTTGACACAAATGAAAGCCAACAGGTTTTATTTCAGGGAATGGAAAAGTACACTGTGATGACCTCTTTCAATACCTTGATCCCACTCATGAGAATCAGAGCCCAGGGGAAAAGCAATCTGTTCTTATGACAGAGAGGCAGACACTGGCTTGGAACTTCTATCCCCAAATCTCAGCCCATTGTTATGAACATGTAAGCAGCTGGCCTGATTCCAGTACCCACAATTGCCCAGAACCCTGATTCCAGTACCCACAATTGCCCAGAACCCTCAGCTCTGCCCATGGACCTGGGCTAGAGGACCCCAAGTCTGGGCTTCCCACTGTAGAGTCCTGACTGTGGCCATTGTTCACCTGTATCCCTTCCCTTGACCCCAGCTGAGTGGACCTCCAGGTACCTGTGTTATGGTTTGTGTCTTGATGTCCCCCCAAAGCCTCATGCAGTCATGGGGGACAGGCTTTTCAGAGGTGGTTGAATCTACAGTTTGTGATTGATTCATGGTCTAATACTGGGATTAAAGGTGTAAGTGCTACACATGCCCTAGGGCAGGTAGCCTGCATACAACATATGGAACAGAAAGAGGCTTGTCCTGTCTCTCCCTCCCTCCATTGATGATTTTGCTGTCTTCCACTGCCAGGAATGCTTCACCCTCTGCCATGCCATTCTGCCTTGAAGCCAGCTGATTATGGACTGAAACCTCCACAAACTGTAAGATAAATAAACCTTTCCTCTTTTAACCTTGGGTGTCAGGTATTTCATTTCAGCAATGAGAAAAAAGTAACTAAGACAACTTGGAACCCTATAACTCCAAACCCCTGCCCACAGCTAGAGCAGGTTCTCCTGAGGTCCTTTCCCAGGAGAGGGTCCTACCACCATCAGGTCTCCCCAGCCCCTCAGTCCAAGTGCTGGATGAGCAAGGCGCAGTGGTTCACAGAGGACATAGACAGCTGTTGGGTCTGCAAGTCAGGACATCCACATGCATGTGTGAGAGGCTTCTTATGGGGTACATGGTGCCAGGGATGGGAAAGAGAGTGGGGAGCAAGAGCTAGCTCTCTCCCCACGGCAGATGACGTAGGAGCTCAGACCCTTCATTCAAACCTGGCCCTCAGGTCCCTCTGAGGAGCATTTGCAAGGAGAATGGAACATTTTCACTTAGTACTTCCCCAGCTTGATGGTAACTTTTAAATATTTAGAGACAGGCAAGCGGGTCTCCCTTGGTACTAGTGTCCTCAGGACCATAAACATGCAGGGTGAATTGTTGTTAACACATTAGGAGCCTGAGGGCTGGATTGAGCCGCAAGGGTTTTGTTCTGTTTTCAGAATGTTTGCCAGTAAATAAATAAATGAGCATTTGAATGCCTTTCCTTCCTGACCTCCACACTACCCATGACATGTGTCTGCTTTGGGTGCCCTGGGGTTCTCAGCCACTGCATAATTTCTCAACCCTACTGGCAAAGACAGGGTTAAGACTTCTTGTCCCCTGGTCTCTGGCACTGCTGTCTTGGGGTCTCACATCTCAAAAGCAGTGTAGAAATTGATGCTCTCTTCCCCCTTCTCTTTCTCTCTCCTTCTCTCTTTCTCTCTCCTTCTCTCTCTCCTTCTCTCTCTCCTTCTCTCTCTGTCTCTCTCTGTCTCTCT